ATCCAGCAAATTGAACACACATTAAATGTTTGGTGTGGAATTTTTTAAAAATCACTTAATACCCAAGCACAGTTAAATCATCGTTTCCCAAATAGATGGATAGGTCGAGGCGGTCCCGTCAATTGGCCACCAAGATCTTCAGATCTAACACCTCTGGATTATTTTTAATGGGGCTACCTTAAATCAGAGGTGTACAACGAATAAATGAGTTCCCGAGCACAGTTATTGGAAAAATTAATAATGTATGCAACATTAGAAATAAACCGGAAATAAATGACGAATCAATAAAAAACCTGTTAAAACGTTCGCAGAGGTGTATTGACGTTCACGGTGTTCATTTTGAAAATTTACTTTAGTTTAAATTAATTATTTGTTTTTGTTAGTTTTTTCTGTTACTTTATCAAATAAAATGAGCTCGGTTATGTGTAGATGTTCAATTTATTATTGGAAAATGCAGTAGTTAAAAATATATGAAGATGGTACCTAATTTGTGTAGAGTTTTAAAAATAGAGAGTAATATATTTGATTTCAATTTTGTAAAAACTGATTTATAATATTGTAGTCGCCATTATAAAAATTGACTCTAAGAAAATCAAGACGGTGTCATTAAATATTATTACATTATTTTATTTATTGATCCGCGTACTATTTAAATGTGCGATAAGAAGTATTAAAATCCGATATACGAGTACCGGGTGATATTCTAGCCAAGAAGAGCAATATAAAAAAAGAGAGTCCGGTCCTGGAATTTTTTTTAATTAAATTATGGTTTTGATTGATCTAAGAAAGTATAACTTTTGTACAAAATTTTATCAAAATAACTCTAGCCGTTCAAACAAAATGGCCGATTTTAGTTTTGGTAAAAAATCATAAAACACCCTATATCTCAGAAACGAGTAAGATTAAAAGCTAAGTATAGGGATGTTTTGAACTCAGCTAAGTGTACTCTATCTACCATTAAGCTGTGTCCGTTTAAATCTGAAACACCCTGTATATAAATAGCCAACATATAGTAACAATGCTAAGTATCTTGGCATGACTCTTGATGCCAAGCTCAGATGGAAAGCGCTTATAAACAAGAACAGAACCGAACTTGAACTAAAGTATGGACATTAATATTGGCTTATTGGAAGGAATTCCAAGTTGTCATTGCACAATAAGATACTTATTTACAATCAAAATCTGAAACCAGTGTAGCTTCACGGTATTTGTACCAAAGATAGCAATATAAAGCTAATTTAAATATTTCAGGACAAAGTACTGCGTAACATGACAAGCACCCCTTGGTACGTACGCAACAGTGACATACATCGAGACCTCGATATTCCAACGGTTAAGGATGAAATTAAAAGTTTGCTGACAAACATGAAGCCAGGCTACATCTCCATAAAAATATAGAAGCCTTTCAGCTTCTCTAGTTCGAAAACTGAAAAGGACCAAGCCATTCGAGCTCCTGTAAAGTTCTGTGTTTAAAAGCAGAGTATAATGCGCAAATTTGTGTATATTATTGTCAGCACAACCTAAAAAGACTTTGTTGAATTAAATTTAGTAGCATATGTAATAAAACAAACCTCTTAGTAAGGCTTTAATTTGGTAAACTATGACATAAATAAAAAGACAGTGAAACGTAAGTATCAAATTGACAAGAATCTGACAAACAAGCATACATACAGGGTAAACATACATACAGGGCAAACATACATAAGGATTAAACAAAGCATAATATAACATTTAATGGTTGATTAATAGTGATCAGTTTAATCAGTTTTAATATTTCAAACGCCAAACGGGGTCAACAAAAAATTGTTTTGTAAAATGTTAAATTTGTTTTTTTTTTCAACTTTGATCTTTCCACACTAGATAATAATTTTTTGAGAACATTTTGTTTTTACTTACAAATTATACAAATTTCACTCAAACAAAACGTTAGTCGAGTGGAAAGGTTATTTAACAATATAGACATAACTTTTATAAACAACATTTGCTAAAGTCTAAAGTGATATCAATTCTTTATTTACATTGTATATTTTGAACAATCAACAGGATTTTTGGCCATTCAAACAGTTCAAATGGTTTTGAAATTATAGATATAATGGAAATACCTCTGATATTCTTTATATCGTCTTTATCACATTTATTATAAGACGGCATAAGCTAAGGAAATTTTCAAGCAGAGGGAAATATTCCACTATTAAATGATTTTTGGAAAATTTGGCTAAGTGGGATTGACAAATAGTCACAGCAACCTTCTAAGAATCAAACTTTTTATTTTAGAAGATACTTCGCAAAGAGTAAAACTATGAGTGATTAAAGTGAATAAAATAGCACAGGCAGAAGATTTATTTTTCGGTTTATGTTATGTTTAGAGTAGCACGCTTAAAAATGAGATGCGAAGGCGTTTGTAATTTCTTCAGGATCACCGAGTTCATAGTTTGCATACTTCATTAAATTAAGCAACCAGTAACTAATTTATAATAAATGTCCAAAAGTGCTTTATATTTTGTGGAATTAAGTGCTCGAGTTCGAAATAAACATTAAGTAACACCAGTCAGTTCGAAATTTAACTTCACGCCTTTTAATGGAGTATTTAACGTAATCGCTTTGAAGTTTGGTTTTCTGATATCTTTTATGGGGTTGATTCTTTTCGACAATTAATTTGGGTAATACAGCGTTATACCACAATGGGTATTTGTTATCTCTAATCTCCTTCTTCGGGACTTGTTGGTCGATAGCACTGTGATGTTGGAAAATTGTTTTACAATTTCATTAATGTCATGGTAATGTTAAATGACCAGTCAGTGTTTTGTATAGAAATTATTTAGTCCAGTAAAGTAGGCTTTCTGGAACTGGTTTATATTAACTGGTTTATTGTCTCTAAGTAAAGGTTTTTTTGTTCGAGAAGTTAATCAAAAGTGGGAGACAGGGGCGTTCCAACCCGGGTTACAAGGGATGCAAGCACACGAGCGGCAAGTAGAGGGAGAGGAGCGCGACGATAAAAAAATACTAATTTAAATATTTATTAGTAGTAATTTATAGGTAAAATAATAATATAAAAGTATTATCATTATACTATTTGGAGTTAAAATGCATTTAACTCGACCATTCATTGTTGGGTTCTAATCTAAAGTGGCGCTGGGAAACAGTAACAAAGCCTACACAGAACACGAGACGAAATAACCTTAGCAGTTAAAGCTGATGACACACCAAAAAAAAAAGTGTAACTGGAAATAAACGTTAATTCACGTCGCAATCAGTCAAGAAGAAAAACTATTTTTCATGTTTCTTATAAAGCTGTTGGCTTACAGAAGCGGATTTAAACTTTCATTTAAATAAAGATAACAGATGTATCTCAACACTTTGTATCTACAACATGCTGACAATATTTGTCTCGATGCTGTTTAATTAAGGTTATAACTTCTCCTTAAACCATGTCCTCAGAAAAAGGAATTACTTTTTGTCGCAACCAACCTTGCATCACCGCCATAGACATTCTACTAAGCGGCTGTAATAAGAAGCGTTATCAAGTACTATCACTGAATTTGACTTGATCCGTAAAAGTAGGGTTTTAAACCAACATTTAAAGCATTGAGCGTCTATGTCTTCGTGATAATCCCCCGTTTTTTACATAAGAAAACTAAAGCACTGTCGTTTAAAAAACGACTTTCACTACCTATATGGGCGACAATTAGTCGTTGTCCTTTTCCAGTTAGTCCTCGTAATCCTGTTGATAGACTTTCCACAAATGCTTGTCGTTAATTTGTTACCGTAGTATCTTGCCAGAACTTAGATACTGTGTGACCAGCATTCACCCATGTTTCATCCAGATAATATATTGCCTTGTTTGCCGAACGATGTTCCTTTAAAGAGCAAAGATATTTTTGTCGCCATGAAACTATTTCTTCTCTTTCTATTAAAACAGAATTACGAGATTGTCTTGCATATCGAAACTATTTTTTTTAATGTCTCGGCTCATTTGTGGAACGAGATTATTCTCCAATAATTTCCTTCTAACGGATGTCATGGTTGGCATATCATATTCTGCTGGTGCTCGTCCAATTTAATTTTTTTTCGACCACGACTTTTGGAGCTTGCGTAGTCCCAGTCACCATCTTTTTACGTACAATGCGTTAGGCTTTTTGACTAACTTGGTACCTTAATATTATTAATAGATAATTTTGTGTATATATATTATAAGGGGCGTTGTAATCAATTAAAAGGAGTCTAATATAATAATTTTATTTATGACAACATCAAAATTAGTCATTCATTTTCCATCAACATAATAACATAACATTAAAACCATAATAACGCACTAATTACTAAACACCAGCTCCTACATATGTATTTATTTGATAATAAGATTAGTAAATTAATAATTTATTAGTGTGTTAGGTTGTAAAACTAAGAAATAAAATAAATTTCTTGTATTTTCTATAATTTGTTTTTTCATTTAAGGTAAAAATGTTTATAATTCATTTGGTATGAAAGGAGGGGCGGAGAATTTTGCCTGCAGACGAGCGGCAGCTACCCTAGGAACGTCCCTGGTGGGGGATGTAAAGGATCAATTTTCAACAGTGAAAACTCTCTATATTTGCATTCAATTGTTTCAAACTCGTCCACAAATATTGGATCCAGCATCCGTGAAATGAATATTATTCATATCCAATGGAAAATTAGTGGTTTTAGTTAAACTAAAAATATATATTTGGCTTTCAATTATATATTATAATTTTGTATTCATTTTGTTTTTAATTTTGACTGCTGTTAAAAGTAAATCCCTGCTTTTGGAGAGATATTAATGATAATTGCATTTTTAAATTACTCTCATACAACGTTGGTAAACCTTTTTCTCTAAAATTAAAAAAATTGATAATCTCTTTGATATACAGGATGATACAAATCAAATTTCCAGAAATATTGTATCACATTGCTGCAATAAAAAATAATACAACAATATATACCCTTAACTACTAATTATTAACTACGTCTATGTTGCTTACCTCGCTAAGTTCCGTAGCTTCCAAGTTACCATTGTTATTCCTGTCGTAATGCGAAAACATAATGGAGACTAAATAATCCTTGCTATGATTATTCTGCGACATCAACCTGGCATGGTTGTATAGCAGTAAATTATCCTGGAAAATCATTTTTCGGGGTTAAAGTCACTTTTATGTTTAACAGAATGAATGTTTTTGGCGAAACAGAATTTTCTTATCTTAATCATTTTGCGTACGGGGGTGGAGGGTCGCCGGAGGATTGAGGGTTGATTGAGTTTCTCGGATTATATGGAGTGGCACCCTCTGGGTGATAAATTTTTAAGTGATTGTCTGCGAGTCAACTGTACAAACTGGGGAAATTTGGAGGTTTTGTATTTGTATTTATTCATTGTTAATCCACTAATTTAATTCGTGTAATTTAAAATCACAAATTTCATTTGAAGAGAATATTTGGCAAATCAATTATACGGTGCGTGACAAAAAAAGGTTGCGCTATTAAAAAAAAAAAAAACAATAGGCTAGTCAATGAAGACACGCTATTTTGAAAATGTCACATAAATTACAAACGTTTTCAAACTTTGTAATAATAATAATAATAATAGTAATAATCAACTTTTGCTTCTATCGAGAGACGACTTCGAGAAACTGGTCAACTGAAATTGAATATAAATAATGCTGGACGACCTCGTCAAGCCAGAACTCCTGCTGCAGAGGTGGGAATACTTGAAATAGTAAAAAAATGAATCCTCTTTCAATTGTAATTTTTCAGTAGATATGCCTATTGATTTTTTTTATTGTAATAACGTTAAAGTCGACAGTGTTCGGGTTTTCTTGAAAATTTTAAAATCATTAACCATAAGTCAATAAAATTTTTTTTACTCAAATACCTTGAGAGATTCATGTTTTTTGCAAAAGACAATAAATGCTACTAATGAATACAGCTCTCCCTAACAAAATCTTAAGGGAACAGGGGCGGCTCTCAAAAAAATACTATGCCATTTATGGATGAGGGTAGTTTTTACCCTTCCATGATTTCAGTTGTAATTTTTGCTTTGAAATATGGATCTTCAATTAAAATTGCTATATACCAAATTTTATAGAAATTAAAATTAAGCCTTTTTGAATTAATAAAAAAAAAATTTCTTTAAACTTTGAAGCGTCCTCACAGGCAAATAAAGCATTTTATGATATAGGTAATTTTGGTCAATTGACTTATTTTGATCCCACCAATATACAGTAGCTCTATCTACAAGAACTGCAGAGACACAGATAGGGCAGGACATCATCTCCATCTGCACAACCAGAGGATGTCCACAAGAAGGAGTCCTATCCCCACTAACCGTAGACGAACTTCTATGCAGATTGACTGACCTCGGTATACCCTGTCAAGGTTATGCCAACGACATAGTCATATTTGCTAGAAGCAAGTTTACAAATATCCTGTGTGATATAGTCCAACGAGGACTAGAACATAGATGGTGCCGTGAAGTAAGAATACAAAAACAACACTAGTAGCCTTCTCAAGGAAAGGAAAACTTAATCTTAAAACCGTTAAATTAGACGGGATAGATATAGAATGGAAAAATAAAATCAAATATCTAGGCCTAACCCTGGACAACAAACTTCTCTGGAACACACATGAGAAGGAAGTAACAAATAAGGCCACAAGAGCCCTAATGGTATGCAGAAACATTGCGGGTAAACGATGAGGGTGTAACCCAAACATACTGCGATGGATGTATACTGAAATAGTGAGACCAATCATCACTTACGGGGCTATAGCCTGGAGTAACAGAACTAGTTTAGCTACTACGAGAGCTAATATCTCAAAATTACAAAGACTAGCCTGTGTTTGCATCACCGGTGCAATGAGAACCTGCCCTACGGCCGCAATGGAGGTGATCTTAAACCTCACTCCTCTACATTTGATGATAAAGAATGTGGCAAAAAAGGACACGATATAAAATGATCAGGAACAGAGTAATCAGACGAAAGTCTACTTGCTTCAGGACTAAAGATACCTAGGACATGCCCCAGGATGAAGTGCTAAAGAAGTACAGTTTTGTGAAAAACTTCAAAACCACAGAGCTGGACTGCAAGAAAAAATGGAGCCAAGAATTAATTGCGCTTGCAACCGAAAAACATGCTATTCAGTGGTATACGGACGGTTCCAAAACCATAAAAAGAACTAGAATAGAAGTGTATGGGCTGAGAACCAAGCACTTCTAAAGCTTGGGAAAATACCCAAACATCTTCCAGGCGGAAATTCACGCCATCGAGAAGTGTATCCAGTTTAACATCGAGAGAAACTATCATAGATAACAGATAATTATCATGTCTGATAGTCAAGCAGCCATCAAAGCGCTGAGCTCCTACGTAATCAAATCAAAAATGGTCTGTAGATGCCTAGAACAATTGAATGAGCTAGGCAAGAAAAATAGAGTTACTCTCATTTGGGTCCCGGCACATAACGGGATACAATGTAACGAGATTGCAGATAGTCTTGCAAAAAAAGGGGCTCAAACACCCTTTGTAGGACCTGAATCGTTCTGCGGTATCAGCAGTAACATATTATTAGGAGAGATTAAAAAAGAATTGGGCAGTAGAAGAACCGATAATTGGAACAATTTCTTGGGGCTGAGACAGGCTAAGATACTTCTGGGTGAATATAACCGGAAAAGATCGGAAGCCTACATCTGTCTAAGCAAGAACAGGCTACGTATTGTAACAGAGCTCCTTACCGGACATTGCCGACTAAAAGGACACCTTAATAAACTAAGAGTAGTAGATAGTAAGTGCAGATTCTGTGAGATTCTAACTGAATGTGTAGCACTCCAGAATCCAACGGCACTATATCTAGGAGGAAATCAAAAAGAAGAGGGAGATTTACCTAACTTGAAGCTACTCTAAATCCTACACTTCCTTGAGAAAATAGAATTGGAAAGATCGTTATAGGCATTGAGACATTTTCTTGGTGCATTAGCGACAGAAGGGGGTACAATAAATATTTTAGATTGTAGTGTATTAACAACCCATTCCCAATATGTACACGGAATTTTGGGACACCCTGTATGTCGTTCAGACCACCATCGATGTTCAGACATAAAAATATTTCGTCGTTGTTGTGTCAAAAAAATGGAATTTTCAAGCGACACAGAAACATTAATCACTTATTGGTTCCTTCTATTTTTTAACGACGGAAGAGGTATTAGCCAAGACGCGAAAGTTGTTTTATTGTTGGGTAATCGCATACGAGCTTTCGTAGTACATTAGAAGCGATTATTTTGCATTGGAATAAATTTTAAGCTAAAAATTGTATTTTATGACATACAACCTATTGCAGTAACAGTCCATCTACATTGACCTGGTGTAACTAAACTTTGTTCTGATGTATTTTTGCATCAGTATGACAAGATCGAGCTTTTTGTTAAACCTTAAAAACATTTCTCTGACCGTGCAGGACCTATTTTATGTAGGTATTTTGCGTTTTTGTTATTTTTAGAAATCTCATTTTAAGATCATGTATGCAATCTTTAAAATATATGAAATATTATTTTATTCTTTGAGTCAGTTTTGTATTTAGGCTCCACCTTTAATAATAACTTTTATATATCCGCACACTTCTAATATAACCCCCCCCCCCCCGCATGCATCTTTGTATTGTTCATTTTTCTTTTAATTCCTATATATAAAGATTTTTAAAGATAAAATTAAATCAATAAGGTATTCTCCTTAAAGCAGTAAACAGGAAATTATTTAAATATTTGCTTGATAGATATAAGGTTTCAAATTCAATATTACTTGCCAATGTATTTTTTAATTTTTTCCTTAATTTGCAACACTTTTGTTTTCGCAATGCAAAATTGACCATAGACAATTAAAAATTGTAATAAAAGTATCTCCAGAATTAAGACAATTTTCAATAACTAAAATATATCAAAGTGACAATCAACAATCTATATCGAATGTTTATTACTTAGCGAAATATACTGCATGTCCTACACAGTCTCCCCTCCTGTGATAAAATTGGGGAATTTGCTGCACCTTTTTGTTTAACTGCGTTCTAAAATAATTGCACATATGCCAGAACTCCTTGCATGTATTTTACTTTGCAAACTTGGAAAGGACCTCTGGTTATGTATTCTATACCAATTTTCTGGTTTGGAACTCCTTTAAATTTAGGTGGCATTTTCCTTCTATATTTATTAGCTTGTTCTTGAATTTTTTGTTTGTATCTTATTTGTATCTCTAGGATTTTAGGTTTCTCTTCAATGTCGATTTCTATACCTAGGTAAAATTTTACTTTTTCCATTCAACTTAAAATATTGTAATAGTTGTAATGCTCTACGGCATATTCCAATGCGCCTTTCCATCCTCCTGAAAAGTTATTATAACAACTCATGAAGTTCTTAAAATTTCGTATAACCCTTTCTGCTATGCCCTTTCCTGTTGGATGGTACAGAGTAGTCGTTATTAAGTTAATGCCTTTTTTTGTCGCCCATTCTTTGATAACTTTTGAAGTGAAAGCACTTTTACAATCGCTTACTATGTTCTTTGTTCGATCAATAAAATGATGCTAGTCAAGGTATTTTTTCACGACAATACTGGATTATTTTATTACTTTTGCAGTAACATATTTAGTTGTCTCATCGATTACCACAATAAAAGATTTCGTAATTCTGTTGCCTTCTGCCTTTTTACACATTTCTGCAAAATCGATATGTATTGTCTCGAAAGTGTTTTGAAAGCTTAAAGTTAAATGGACATAATTTTGGTTTGGACAAATATTTAAATTTTGCATGTTGACATACAGAGCAGGTTTTAATATATTCTTTTATGTCTTTACTAATAGATTTTCAATAAAAGCGCTGTTTAATTTTGTAATAACATTTCTTATATCAATTATATCCCATGAATATGGATCATCATGATACAATTGAAGAATATTTTTTTATCATATCCTTTGTCTTCACATTCTTCATTCTAGTTAGATTTTGAATGTTTAAATTGCACCAGAACGATTCTGGTGTATTTTCTGAAATATCTATACACAATCTACTGATTGCGTCCACATCTTGGATCTCCCGTCCTCTTTTAAAACTTTTTTTCCATCGAGATATGTCCTAAAATGCTACACT